CCTCGTCTGCATGGAACGCAGAGTTGAAAAGTCCAACCATGAGGATAGGTGGACTATGTCAGAAGATGACACTCTCTGTCTAATGGCCAAAGATGATGCCAATCAAGAGGTAACCTCACAAACCTCCTGCTCATCTTCTTATGAAAGCATACCAACTTCTGAAAATCTTTTTGACCAGTTCAAAAAGATGATGGTAGATTTTGAGGAAATAAATCTCAAACATTCATCCTTAACAGAAGAGAACAAACTTTTGAGTGAAGAGAATCTCAAGCTGACTGAAGATCGGAAAAGTCAACTAAATGAGATCACTCAACTTAAAACTGAAAATGAATCTCTCTCTGAAAAGATAAAATCCCTTAACAAAGAACTAGGGATACTTAAGTCCAAGGAAGCAGTGGATAAGCTTCTTAAAACAACCAACCATAAGGGTCGTGAAGGACTTGGGTTTGACTCCTCCAGTTCCAAAAGGAAAGGGAGAACAACCTTCATCCCTCCTAAACCTACTGCCAAATCAAATAAGCAGAAAGGAAAGGAAAAGAAGAAACCAACAGAAGTTCCCAAAAAGGTAGTCCCTCCTAAGAACTATAGGAAGCTGGACAAACCTCAAAGAGGAAATAATTCCAGAAGAAAACCCTCTAACACCTACTATACACGAGGCTATACTCACTATGGGGTAGACAGGAGTTTTCCAAGAAATTCTGAGTGGAGAACTATGCCAAGATATGGTCATCCTCCACCCAGAAGCTATTTGTGCCACCTAAGTATGCTTATAACCGACACAGGACACACTATGCACAACCTAGACAAAACTATAGGTCTTATCAACCTAGATTTGCTAGGAGGAAACAGGAAATAGCACCTCCTGCACGTAGGAAGTTTTATGCCTATAACTATGATTACAATCCCAACAAGTTTAGAGCTGCAAGGAAAATTCCCTGCAACTTCAAACTTGATGTAGGGACACACACCATTAACTACTCCGGACCCAAACTTAATTGGGTACCAAAATCTTCCTCCTCCTAATGCAGGA